TGCTCCCTCTTGTCCTGAGGAAGGTACGGGGCCGTTCCGTGCAGGTGGGCACCCCTCGACCGCCCGGGGGGCTGGAGCTCTGTGGGGATGGTGTGGGACAGGGAGCCCATTCTGAGATTGTGCCCCCTGATGGAGCTGAGAGAGACACGGGAGAGGAGATGGAAATCGATATGGGATTGGATAGTGAGGAAAGGATGGAGATAGATCTGGAGGAGGATGTGCAGGGAGAGATGGAGAGGACACAGGAGGAGATGGACATTGAGCAGGAGGATGAAGAGGAGGACATGGTGTTGGGATGAAGACCCCCAGCAGCAGGACAGGCCCATCCTGGCCATGCCCTGCCCCAGGGACAGGGGGTCACCTGCCGCCAGGCTGGGGCTGGGCTGGGTGGCCCCGCTCAGGGACACGGTGCCCCGTGCCCGGGATTCTGGTGGCACAACCCCCACCCCCAACCTGCCCTGCGCCTGCTTTGGGCCACACAAGCCCCGTGCCAGCGCCTGGGGCCCGGCTCCCATCCCCAGCCGGGTTCAGGCCTGGCGCCAGAGTCCCGCTGTGCCCAGCGTGTGCCAGGCTGGGGGCACAGGGAACACCCAGCAGGGCCTGACTGCACTGACCGTGCTGCTTGTTCTCTTCCAGGAATGACAGAGATGGAGGACGTGGATGTCACTCTTCTGTACACGTGTTTTAGATTTTGTTTTGTAATGCCTCTGTAAATACGTTTCATCAACTGTTGTTTTTATGAGGATTTTTAGGATGTAAACTTGCTGTTTTTCAAAAAGTTCTTCTCTTATAAATACGCTTCATGGTTCATCATTTTTGCTGCTCTTCTGTAAATAAGTAGTCTTTGTATTTCACAGCCCAGCTTTCTTTGCATTTGTTTTCAGCACAGTGTTTGTAAAGTTGTGGCTTCACCTGCTTTGGGTTCCCAGGGCTGGAGGGGTCTGAGGGTGCTGGCATGGCCTCCCCAGGGCTGGGGGTACCTGTGCACAGGGGGGTCCCACTGACACAGGTCACACTCTGCTTTCATTTGCTTTGCACGCTCTTGGTACCAGGAGAGGCAAATCCCAGCGGTTCCTGTTCCGTAGGATCCCAGCTGGGACCTGGGCAGGGCCTGGTCCTGCAGAGCCTCATTAATGTCTCTTCACTAGGTGGCACCAGACACCGGCGCTCTGGAGGGTGCTCTGGGCTGCGGGCACCCCCTTCTCCTGGGCACCCCGGGGTGCTGGAGGTGTCCTGGAGGGGAGCAGAGAATCCTCAGCCATGAGCTGGGGAAGGCAGGGTTGGATGGAGGGGGGGATTGACAGATGAAGGTCATCATCAGGCTGAAAGCATTGCATCACCTGGTGGGGGACATGGGCTGCTTTGCAGGGCACGAGCTGTTCCCTGGGCACTCTGTGCTCCTTTCTAAGGCTAGGGGACCCGGAGCTATTGGTCTCATCCTTTGCATCCCCCCGGAATACGAACCGGAGAGCCTGGCCCTGGCTGGGAAAATGCGGCATCTGCCTCAGCATTCTCAGCATCCAACAGCTCAGGCCTTGCTGCCTCAGGAGGAGGCTCAGAGAGGGGTTTTCATGTAGAAGAGCACGAGCCATATGGAATAGAGACTGCTCTGAGGGACCCTGGGGCCATGGGTGCTGCACATGCAGCAGAGAGCAGCACGGGGCCTGCAGGCAATCCTGTGCCCACAAATGCCCGACTCCTGCTTACTCCAGGGGAGTTTACAACAGAAAGAGTTCAGACTTTTACCCCCTGCTATGAATAAAGCACTGCTGAATATGCTTCAGATGGATTTCTTCCCCTCCATCTTCTCTGCAGCTTCATCCAAGCCTTGTTCCTTAGTCTTTTTTCCTCCCTTGGAGGAACAGGTCCAAGCCCCACCTCAGCTGGATCTTGGCATCAAATGGGAGCACAGCATTGTCCTCTCCAGCCCCAACAGCAGCTGAATGCCAAAGGATTGCTTAAAAATTAATCCAATGCTTGTATTTCTCATTAAAAGTGCTAAATTGTTGGTGCACAGCCCAGAAAGTCTGTTTGGGTTGGCTATATCTTCTGCTGGTTATTTAATAAATGACTTTACAAAGAGCTAAATGCAGCCACAGAGTTAACAGGGAAATTGGACAATAATTAACAGACATCCAGGAAGTTAACGTGGCCCATGAAGACTTGAGAATGGAAAGCTGAAAAGGAAGCAGCACAGGGAGATGCCCACCGTGCCCTGGATGGAAAGTGGCGGCTCCAGAGGCTGGGGCAGTGCAATGGTGGGGGGCTCAGGGGCTGCCCAGAGCATCTACGGGTGATATTGGGCTCTTGCTGCTCCTCACCCCTCCTGGTTACAAAATCAGGGGCTGCCCCAGCTGCTCTTCGCCGGAATGGGGAGTGTTTGGCTGCAGGAGTTTCCCCTCCCAGGGACATTCCCAGAGCTTGCTTCCAGCACAGCTTGGTTACCTGCCAGCCCCACAAATGCCACAGAAGGGCTCCAGGAACCCCTTACACAAGGTGAGGGGGCCATTGACCCATCGGTGGGAAATGGAGCAACTTCCCATTGCCCAAGGGCAGTTAAAACAGTTTTGCCTGCAGGCTGGGGAAAGAGGGGTGAGTGTGTGCAGCATTTCCTTGGAAGGCAGGAACAGATGGAGGGCTGAACGCTGGTGGAACCTTTGCCCTCCAGACAAGGAATGGTGCAGGTGACCCCCAAAGATCATTCCTGGGAAGGCACACGCAGCCTCAGGCTGATCTGGATTGTGCTGGAAGGTTTGGTTTGCAGGTGCACGTGCAAGCAAAGTACAGAGGGCAAACCCACTGAATAGACCCCCAGAAGGGAACAGGGCACGGCCACCACAATGGTTTCTCCTGCAGAAGGATCCTTGCCCAGGAGAGAGCAGCTGCACTGTCTCCAGCATGCCTGGGGAATGATGCCCTGGACCATCTTCCCTTGGCCCTCTCAGCCCCAGCTATTGAACAATCCCCTTTGTGTCTTGTGCAAAAGCCTTCCAGAACGCACAACGCAACAGGCGGAGGGAAAAAAGTACAAACATCCTGTTGCCCACGCCCATCGTCCCGGAGGGTTTAAATGTCCGTGTGCCACAGCTCTCACACTCACACCTCTCAGGGACACGGCAGCATGAGGTCGGTGGCCGCTCTCCTCCTGGTGGGGATGCTCATCCT